ATAATAGTAAATAAAGTTAAATAATTATTTAAAAAATAATAAATATGATCTTAGTAAACCTTTTGGCACCTGTATTTCTAGTCTTTTTATGTATATACAATGGAACCATTTTACATACAGTCATTTCTCACTGCTTTTTGTCCATAGAAAAGCAAGATAAAAATACCCATATCTCCTGATGGCCTGTAAAAATTCCCCTTCCATCCTCACCCCGCACACTGCCTCCTCCTCCCCTTGTCTTGAGCTCCAATCGCTGACACGTGCAGTGCCTCGAAAGCCCATTTGCTTAACAGATATCACTGTGACATGCAAGAAAAGAAGAAAAGCTGATTACTTCTCCTCTCCTCATTAACACATACCTCATTAATAATACCTTTGTTTTTCTCGTAGATAGAACGATTCAGTCTACACATTCATATATACATTCAACAAACATTTGTTAAGTATCTTCCAAACGCCAGCCCTTAAACTCTCCAGTAAGCATGCAGAGACAATAGAAGAACCCCTGCTCTTGAGGAAGGCATAGATGCATAAATTGGGAAAAGAGCAGTGTGGTAAGTGGTGTGCAGAAATATTGCACAAGTTCTGTGTGACCACACAGGAGAGTCACTTGGATCTCTGAGTGAATCCAGATGAAATAAAGGGAGCCTTTTTTCAGATAAGAAAATGGAACTCGGGCCAACCAGTAGCATGGTCATTAGGGGGACTAGGTCCCACCTGACTGACTGCATTGTTTGAGTCCTGGTCCCGGCAGCTTGAAGAACATGCCAGGTACATGTGTGTGCAAGCCCAAAGTCCAGAGAGGGGAATAGAGGAGAAAGGATTGCAGCATGGCCATCCCTTCAGGGGGTTTTTTCTCTCTCTGTCTCTCTCTGGCCAGCACCCTTGCCCTATAGAAAATTTATAAAAGAATAGAAAATGGAGTTCAGAGTGATTCTGTCACAGCTGGTTAGTGATAAAAAACCAGATATGACTTCAAAACCCCTGTTCTTTCCACCAAACTGGTTACAGGAAAGTGTTACGTCTTCCTTGTATTACGAGCCCCACGTGTGCGCATTTGGGGGGATTCCTGAGACAGGGACCGAAGCTGCACCTTATTTTCCTCTCCCCATTTTACGATGGTACCAATTTCGGATTTGATTGAACAATAGTGGAACAGAAGTAGGGGCCTGAAGTTTCTAGACTGCTTTGCCTCTGCTTGATTAGGTGATTGAGACCACACTATTCCTCTTTTCTAGGTCTACATTTCCCAGCTGTAAAGCAAGGAGATTGAAATCAATCTTGCGCTGCCTGTAATTTTTTTATAAGTAACGTCCCATTCAAGTCCACCCATTTTCAGAGATGTGGGGGTTCCTACTTGCCTTGGGAAGTCTTAATACACTATGACTTTGCCAGACGGGTGGGTGAGGGTCAAGAGTGTGGGCTCTTGTCTGCCTGGGTTTGAATCTCAGCCCTGTTGCTTACATGCTGTTTAATTTGGAGTATCGAAGCAGTTTTAGAAGTCAAAAAAGGGGCCAGCGGGTGGCATAGTGGTTAAGGTGCTGGACTCCCACATGGTCGACCACAGTTCACGTTCCAGACCTGGTGGCTTGAAACTCACACGGGATGCAGAAGTGTGCATGCCCAAAATCCCAGGATGAGAAGGGGTTGTGAGGTGGCTATCCCTCTGGGAGCTGATTTCTCACTTCCTGTCTGTCTTTCTGGCAAGCACATGTACCCGATAGCAACAGTCTCTCTCAACATAAAAAAGTCGAAACAGTGGCTTCTTTCACTAAGGACTTCTTCATAAAGAGCACAAAGAAACCAGTATGTCCAAGCATAGCCTATGGAACTTTAGTCATTGGAGGGGTGGGAGCACTGTTTGCTGCTCAACATTATAGGAAACACTTCCCTTCTGCTTGTGTAATACAGCAGGCATCATCCTTCCTTTTTCCTGCTGTTTCCAGTGCTCAGGAGAGGCTGCAGCAAAGGTAGGTACTTTGCAGAGGTTTTTTGTATGACCAATTTTACACTTTATATTTAAGAACTGGAGAGGTAATAGCACTTGACAATGAATCTTTTGGTTCTCAGATCTTAGCCTGCAACATTGTTGAATTTGTTTTGATGGAATTTGATTGGGGGCATCCCATGAAAATCAAAGCAGAATTCTTCTGATATCAGCATTTGGCTTTCCACTTTGATCAATAGGCTTATTATTTGCCCTTGAACCTCAGCGGTGCTGGGTGTGAGTCACAGACATTCCTCCGGTTGATTTACATGGCTCTAAATAATCTATGCTGCCTATAGCTTGTTCCATCAGCATCTGCCCTGAACGTAAAACCCCGGGGACTCAGAGGTTCCAAGGCCGGAGTACCCCCGACTCCATAGCTCCAGTTACAGATGTGTGTGGTGGGACGTGCTGCTCTGATAAGCAGCTGCAATTTCTTTTAGGAATTGATGTAACTGTAAGTGTGTCATCTGACTTTATTATCACAACTCCTTACCATTTATTTTTTTATTTCTGTTATATGATGGTCCCTATGTATGTTATTTTATCTGATCTCTACAACCCCTGAATTTGGTGTTTATACCTTTTTTATAGAGGCGGAAAGTGAAACTCAAGGTGAAGCTTATCTTGGAAATCATGTGGCCTATGAGCCATGGAACCAAGAGTTAAACTCAAGTCTCTGACCACAAAGTTCTAAGCCACTGTACCATGACATTTTCCTCATCTAAAGTACAGCTGACTATTGAACAATGCAAGAGCTAGGGGTATCAGACCCCCACCCCACACAATTGAAAATCTGCATATAACTTTCAACTCCCAAAAAATTGAACTACTAGAAGGCTCCTATTGACTGGAAGACTTACCGATAACATCAACAGTCGATTAACACACATTTTGTATGCTATGTGTATTATATACCGTATTCTTTTTTTTGGGAGAGGTTTTTTCTATAGAGCACATGCACTTGCCAGAAAGATAGAGAGAGACAGAGAGACAGAAAGTGAGAAATAACCCCCTGGGGGGGGGGGGCAACGCCACAATCCCTTCTCCTCTGTCTCTTGGGATCTTGGGCACGCACACACACGTGTCTGGTGTGCATTTAAACCACTGGGTCTGGGACTTGAACAGCAGTTGACTACATGGGAGTCCAGTGACATATCCATTATGCCAACTACTGGTCCCTATATACTGTATTCCTATAGGGAAGTAAACTAGAAAAGAAATGTTATTAAGAAAGTCATGAGAATAATACATTTACATTACTGTACTGTGTCTTCTAATGTGTTTATTGGAAAAAATCCACATATAAGTGTACTCATGCAGTTCCAACTCATGTCATTCTAGAGTCGTCTCCACTCTCTACGGCTTCTCTAATTATTTTGTGTTTAACTTGGTACCCTGTTGCAAAGACCCCAAAGTTTTCCATACCATTCAGAGATGAATTTTAAATTTCTTAACAGCATTGCAAATGAAATTTATTGTGACAAACATAGCCAGATTACTTTCTTGTTATCCATCCATTTAGTAAATTTACAGTTTCCATTAATTTTAATCTGGCCTTATTACCTGTTTTATATAATAAATATCTCTTAGTCATGACAGACTCACTGAATATAGATCACCTGAAGTAGACTCTCTCTCAATAAGCAGAGTTGCAGCTAAAGATTTGTGAATTAATTGGGAAAATTGCAAATCAGGTAGTCAGTGAAATAATTCATTGTCACATCCAATCAATAAACTTTGTAAATCAACTCATTTAATTCAAAAAATGATCTATATAGATCAAGCAACCAATTAAACAATTAGCATACACTTTGCAATTAATTAATTTAAGCATCAATCATGTAATTAAAACTCCAAATTTAAGCTGCAGAATTTAGAATTCTACTGCCTTGTGAACTTATTAGGTTCATGCTTGCAAAGCCACCATGCTTTCTGAGTGCTAGCTGATTCATAGTTTCACAGTTCAACTTTGGAGCAGGGTATCTTTAGGTGTTTATGTCAACTGCAGTTTTAAATTGTCTGTATGTCTGTATGATTTCCCATCCTTTTTTCAACACATCAACATTTCCCTTCCCCGAAAGAGGAAAAATGGGGTGTGTGCTTATTCTAAATTATGCAAGAGTAAAACCCAAGAGTACCTACTGTATGTTCTAGGGGAGTGGGAAATGTCCAGAAGTTGTGGAGAGAGAGGTCCAGGTATCTGAGTCAGGACAAATCAGGTCATTTGCTTCTGCTCCACTGGGAATCCATGGTGTCTGGAATCAGATCCTGCCAAGTAAGATGGATAATCTCTAGGAGAGAACTTGTTAGGATGGTCTTGGTTACCTTGAGCACTTCATCCAAGGCAGAGTTCAGATATTTTCTTTCTTTATTTTAAAAAGTGTATTTCTTCCATGCATGTGAGAGAGAGCCCCCCTCACATGGTCTCACTGTTGTGATCCACCCCCAGTTTCAGCCAGTCCCATGCTGAAGTCTCAGGACTTGCCTTGGGAACCCTCTCATGTGGTCAGCCTCACAGAGTGTTGGGTTTTACCACGGCATCACCATCTGGCCACTAACTCAGATAGTTTCTGAATCCTAACCATCAATTAAAAGTCTCTGAATCCCCCCCCAAATAAATTTTCTTTGTAGTGTTATTTATATCTACTTTATTGTATTTATCTTACTTATGTTTATATTATAGCTAGTATGTAGTACCTAATTCTTTCCCCCTGGTGCACTGTAAACTTTCTTTAGGGCAGATTATAAATTTGACCTTTGATGTAAGGGGTTAAGTTCTGTGCCTTCTCTATACCAGGTGCTCAGTAATTGTTGGAAGAATAGAGTAGTATCTGTTCTGCCATGCCTTTTCTCTCTGTCAAATCAAGCAGGATTTGGGGGGGTTCTAATTACATCTCCAGGCTCGGAGTGAAAAACAGCAATGTCTTCAGCATGCTTGACTATACACCACACTCTCTGGTCTGTCCTTTCCCTATCCTGGTACTCACTCACCTTTTGGTTTTCCTCTCAGTGACAACGTCAGTGCCTACTGCCTGCATATTGCTGAGGACGATGGGGAGGTGGACACGGATTTCCCCCCGCTGGATTCCAATGAACCCATTCATAAGTTTGGCTTCAGTACTTTGGCCCTGGTTGAAAAGTATTCATCTCCTGGTCTGACATCCAAAGAGTCACTCTTTGTTCGAATGTGAGTACTGACTGTGTTTCGTACGTATCTCAGTATCTCGTCTCTGCTTTCTAATAGTTTGGAGCTGTCCTTGGTTTTGTTGATCAAATGAATGGTCCGTGTTATCTGGAGAGTCCACCTATAATGATTCCTTCCAGGGAGGTGTTGGGAACAGCATTTGTGTTGTATTTCATACCCCTCTATTGAGCCTAAATACAGATTGTCCTGCAGTTGCAAATTGTTGACGGTAGATCAGTGAACGTCCTGTCTAGAAGCAGGCTCTGGAAACTTTTTTTTTGGAGCCTGCCAAGCAAAAACTTCTGAGTTTGCCTCCTTTTCATCAAGGAATCCAGTCCAAATGAAAATATGTATTATAACCACTTCTCTCTTGTGACCTGAAATGCTTTTCTCTCCAACTTTGTTCAGATCAAATTTGATTTTTTCTCTCAGTTGCCTCCCTTTAGACTGAGCAGGTTTTCTTAACCTTTTCTATCCCTTTGACAATCTGGTAAAGCCTATATAAGCCCTTCTCAGAAAACTGTGTGTAAATGCAAAAAATAAAATTTGCTGGAAAATACAAAATAATTGTTATATTTAAAGTTATCAAATTATTAAACAGATTTATGATACAGTAATATGTACAGCTTTACTAAAAGAGTGAGTAACAAGGTTCAGCTGCAGGTCTGACACTAACACGTGAAGTCTGTTTCCGAGTGGTGATGAGCCTAAGTGGTATTGAGAAATCTGCAACAGCTACTACCTGCCTGCTGGTAGCCGTGATTTCTGTTCATGACAGTCACTGGCACTGGTAATGCTACAGTGATTTATTGCCAACAGTTATAATTCAAGGAAATGCTAAATATCAGAAGTGAGTGAAAATAAAAACGTAATTTTTGCCCATTCAAATCTACAGAGCTCTTGCTTTTTATCCACATGTCCCAGTTGTTTAAGGAAACCCTGCAGCGTTCAGACTTTACTCTGACCCAAGTGTTTCTATCTGTGCCTTGACAGTCCCTCTCCAGGCCACCTCCTGGGAACAATAGGGATCCCTTTGGAGCCCCCTGCTGTTAATAGCCAGCAAATTCATGATCCAAAAGAGGGATTGCTTTAGAGGACTTTTTCCTCTGTCTCTTTAAAACATATTGCCTTTGTTTAGATTTTTATTGAAAATAGGGTTATACTACATATGCTATATGAGTGTCTGAGGTGTTTCTACCTTTGAGCAAAGAAAGAACACCTCAATGCCTGGGGATGAGCAGAGACTTGGCCCTCAAGCTTTCATGATGGCCTTTGCATCCCTACTGCGAGGTCAGGTTTGGTGCGTATAAGAGCACTTTTTTTTTTTCCAATAGCACTAGAACAACTTCAAAGAATATTTGAAAGAATGTGAAAGTTATCCAGTGATCTCTTCGTTATAATTTACTATTTTCAATTCTGTATCGTCATTTCTGTGCATATGCATATTATAGTTTCACTCCTAGTATTTTGTATTTTGTGTGATTTTTAATTAATATTATATTATAAATATTTTAACATTTGTTCTTAATTCCTACAGTCTATATTTATGATGTCCCAGACTCTAGACAAGGATATCCCTACCCTCATGGAGCTTACTATCTAGGAGGAAGATAGCTGGCAAACAAATCATTAAAATGTAATAAGCAATATAAAAGAAAAGTGTGTTGAGTGCAGCAGAAGCCTGTCATAGAGTATTTAGAGTGTTAGCTTGTTTGGGTTTAATAAGTCATATTTTGGCAGTTATTATTTATATCTCACTTGTTTCTCTTGACTGACTTCCTTAAGATCATTTCCTGTAAGTGGGCAGTTTGTAGATCTCCCAATTTACAACCAACAGAGTTCTACAACTATTTTTCAGTCTTACTTTCACAAGTTATTGTCACCAGAACTTATTTTTTTCTACTTTAAATGATGTATACAGGGACCAGCAGATGGCGTAATGGCTATATCGCTGGACTCCCATGTAGTTGACCGCAGTTCGAGTCCCAGACCCGGTGGCTTAAACTCACACTGGGCGCATGTACATGCATGCCCAAGATCCTGAGAGGAAATGGAGGAGAAGGAATTGCAGTGTGGCATCCCGCCCTGGGGGGTCATTTCTCGCTTTCTGTCTTTCTGTCTCTTTCTGTCTTTCTGGCGAGCACACGCGCCCTATAGCAAAAATCTCTCCAAAAATAAAAAGAGATGTATACAGTAGCATTTCAATACTTTTTAACTGTAATTTTATTGATTATTAGTAAGTGACTAGAAGAATTTTTACTACATGAATATTAATGTATGATTATAGCACTTGCTTGAACTGAAAGTCTTTTTTTAAAGCAAGAGCTTTGGGCCAGTCATTGGTGTGGTGATTAAGTCATCTGGATGCCTTATAGCTGTGTGGTTTGAGTTCCTAACCTGGTGGCTTGACAAACACACCGGACATGTATGTGTGCATGCCCAAAATCCCAAAAGAAGAAACGGAGAAGGGAGTGCAGCATGGCCATCTCCCATGGCGGGGGGTGCTTTCTTACTTTTCCTCTGTCTCTCTCTCTAGAGACTTGTGTTGCTATTATTGATAAAATGGCCTTTGGAAGGTAGAAACTGGATTATCTATGCCCCGCAACACCCAGCATAGCTCCGTTCCTGTAATAAGTACTCCACAAATGTTCTTAAATGAGTAACTGAATAGATCCCTTTGTTTGTTTTACATTTTCTTTCTTTCCCAACTTATTGTTTATAGCAGAGGAGGGGCAGGGTTTAAGTGACCATCACTGAGCTGAGCTGAAAAAGCTAAACTAGAAAAATTTATTGTATATGGGTGGGGGGGTAGGCATTGAGGGTCTGCAGGCTCCCACATTAATCCTGCGAGCAGACATTTTCTAGGCAGTAACACGACTGCACACCCCCCAAGACTGAGGACCACGGTCTTATTTATGTCTGTATCGTAGCACCCAGCCTGGACCTTCTTAGAGAAGCAGTGACTGAATCTTCAGGTATCTGGGCTGACAGGAGGACCCTGGAGATGAATACTCTGTCCTACCTCACTTTTTAATTTTTATTTATAAGAAGTATTTTATTTAAATTTACTTATTTATTTGTTCATTTATTTTAATTTGACCAGAGGGGGACAGAACAGGAAAGAAAGTGAGAGAGAGAAAGTGAGAAAGCAAGCTGCCAGGTCCAGGATTCGAACCACAGTCTGCCATGTGGGAGTCCAGCGCCCTTAACCACCACTCCACCTGCCAGCCCTGATTTTTTATTTTATTTTTAGAGAGAGATTTGTGCTATAGGGCGTATGCGCTCAATGGAGAAACAGAGAGACAGAAAGCAAGAAATCACCCCCAGGGGGATGACCACACTGTAATCGTTTCCCCTCTGTTCTCTCAGGATTTGGGGCATGCATTCAGCATGAATTTTAAGCCACCAGGTCCGGGTCTCTAACCACAGTCAACTATGTGGGAGTTCAACAATGTAATCATGACGCCATCTGCTGGTCTCCCCACCTCACTTCTGAGCCCTCCTAACCTCTTCTACAGCCCTGTTCCTCCTTTTGAACACTAGAAAACCCCTAGCTGCCTCAGATGAGGCCTCACACTACCCACCCAGAGACTCTATTATATCATCCCTCCCTCCAAAAGAGGCAGCACAGGCTTTGAACTGAGACAAACGTGGGTTCAAGTCTCAGCTTCATTTCTCAGCTTCACATGGTAGTCACTACTACCATGACTAGTACATAGTACTAGTTCTGTGCCATGACTTGCTACATCACTTTAGGGAGCTTTACTTAACTTAGTAGGTGTCGGTTTGTTCATCTGTAAAACACAGTAGTAACCACTTCATGGAATTGTCATGAGTAATTTTCTTAAATGTAAATAATATACCTTCAACTCTTTTAAAGGGAAAAAAACTCTCCTGAGGCCTCAATATTCACCCAGACTAGCTTTATTATAATGCTACTCAGATGCATACGAATGTAAAGTTCTAGCTATAAATTCTATGTTTTTATGTAGCCTAAACAAAATTACAAATTAAATACAACTAAAACTATAACATTAGTAAAATATAACTTTAATGCAACAGATGATGATTTGCTGAAATTATATTGCTGATGCTGAGTTTAATAGGTGTTAATTTTTTTTGTTAACTTGAGTCTTTTGATTTTTATATGAAGCATTATGATCACCGTATTATTTGTCCTTAAAGACAGTGAGTGTTTTTAACTGCTCGTCCTATGTTTTAATGGGCCAATTGATTTATAGTATATCCCTCCAAAATTCTAAATGTTCTTACTAGAAAAGTCATCTTTACATCTGTCCCACCGTACCTCGCACCAGTAAGACCAATTCACGTTGGTGTGCCCAGGACTATATCTGGTTTTTTTTTTTTTTTGGAGAGGTTTTTGCTATAGGGTGCGTGTGCTCGCCAGACAGACAGAGAGAGACATAAAGTAGGAAATAACCCCCCGGGGGGATGGCCACACCGCAATCCCTTCTCCTCCATTCTCCTCTTGGGATCTTGGGCACGCACGCACACGCGCCCGGCATGAGTTTTAAGCCACCGGGTCCGGGACACGAACCATGGTTGACTACATAGGAGTCCAGCACGACATAGCCATTATGCTAACTGCTGGTCTGGACTATGTCTGTTTTGAAGCCAAAAGGCCTCTCTCCGGGAGTGCCCTTACCCCCCACCCCCACCCCCTGACAAACCAGGACAGTTGATCACCCCGCGTTCTGCCACTGACCTGTGCTTGTCTGCTCAGTTGATACCTGTGCATAGTGGGACTGGGCACCGAGCATGAACTCTTCAGTGACTGGGTCCACGAGATCCTTTTGCCCACTGGATTTGCTGTCCATTGTCATCTCTTCGGCATACTACAAGGGGGGGTCTTCAAAAAGCTCATGGAAAATGAGGTTTTTGAGAAAACTATACATGCATTTTATTTTTTATTTTTTACCCACAAAAAAAAGTCATACTTCATTTTCATTTTTACATGAACTTTCTGAAGTCCCCTCATATTT